TAGGCTAAAAGTCCAAATTCAGGGTGTCAGCTCCAGGGGAAGGCTTTCTCTCTCTCGGCCTTCTCATCAGTGTTCCCCCAAACTAGGAGCTTCTTGGTGCAGGGACCCCAGGTCCAAAGGATGCGCTCTGCTCCCAGCACTGCTTTCTTGATGGTATGAGGTCCCCCTGTCTTACTGCTCGCTTCTGTCTTTTATATCTCAAGAGATTGCCACAAGACACAATCCAGTCTTGTAGACTGAGTCCTGCCTTACTAACACAACTGCCACCCATCCTCGCTTGTTAACATCATAGAGGCAGGATTTACAACATATAGGAAAATCAGACAATACCAGGAATCGTGGCCCAGCCAAATTGATACACACATTTTTTGGGGGGACATAATTCAATCCATGACAGTTTCCAACATGGCAGTTTGTTTAATGTATGTAAGCCCAGAAGACAGTTGGAGAGTAAGTGTGAATAAGATAGAGTCACAATCTCTTATAACCCAGTCTTGGAAATGACATCCTATTACTTTTGCCATATTCTGTTTGTTAGAAACAACTCAATAGGTCTAGCCTTCGTTCAAGGAGGGGAATTACACAGTAGTATAGATACAGGAGGCAGAGCTCACTGGAAGCCATGTCAGAAACTGCATTCCACAAATGTTTTTATATTGGCAGTGATAGATGAGAAATAAGGGAAAACTGCGTCTGAATATATGCATTAGTTGCTTCCTAAGTATTAGACAAATAATAAAATTTGTTAATATTTTGTGAAGAGTGAGACAGATATGCTTTTTTTAAGTGAAGAACTTATATAGGCTCTTGCTAATTTGGACAGGTCTTTTTTTTCCCCCTAACTTATGCTTATATAACTTTATAAATATTAGAACATTAATTCTTATTTTCACCCTAGTTGATAAGTATAGCTTCTTTATGTATATTGATAAAGAATTTGGGATTCACTGTTTAGTATCTTACTCAAGATCACTCAAATTAGGGTAAAATGTTTTAAGAACTTGAAGTCTTACTTAGCTTGTTTTGTCCAGTAGATCTCTATGCCTCCAGGATTCAGAGTGTTTTGTTATTTCTTATATATATATCCTTTAAAGAAAACATGTTATAATGACCACTGTACAAAGAAAAGAATTCCTCAGCAGTTTTCTAGGGAAGGTTGCTTCTTGAGGGTTAGGGCAGGAGGGATGAAAAACAGTGAGGCTTGAACATCTACTTTCCTTTCTGAGAGGCAAAATAATACAATAGAAAGATCACTGGGCTTGGGGTCTGAGAATTTGGGAGTGGAGTATTCTGGCTCTGCTGATTACTAGCTGAATTACCTTGGGCAGATCACTTATGCCCCTGTGGGACTTAGTTTTATCATCTGTAAGATAAAGATGCTCTCCTGTCTACTTTATGAAAAACATTCATTAAATGCCTGCTGTGGTACAGTGGTTAAGAATTAGGGCTGCTAACCAAAAGGTTGGCAGTTCGAATCTACCAGCCACTCCTTGGAAACCCCATGGGGCAGTTCTACTTTGCTGTATAAAGTTGCTGTGAGTCGGAATTGACAAGACAGCAATGGGGTTGGTTTTTGGTTATGCAATTGGTACCATTATGTATGCATTAGGAGTCCCTGGGTGGTGCAAACAATTAAGAGTTAGGCTGCTAATTGAAAGGTTGGAGGTTTGAGCCCACCCTGAGGCATCTTAGAAGAAAGGCGTGGCAATCTGCTTCTGCAAAATCAAGCATTGAAAACCCTGTGGAGCAGAACTCTACTCTGACACACATGGGGTCACCCACGAGTTCCAGTCTACTTGATGGCAACTTTTTTTTTGACGTGTGTGTTAGTTCATTGTTCCCCACATCAGCTCCATGAAGTAGTTATTAACCCCATTCTTGCAGTCAGAGTACTTCACAGAGTTGTATGAAGACTTCTAAAAAAACTCTTGAATATAAAAGTAATCAATATACTGTAAAGCACTATTATCAACACATTTTCTTTTTTGTAAGAGATGTTTAAGAAATTGGTTAGTGGATGTATGAGAAAAGAAAAAAGGTTTATGAAATAAAATGTCAACTTTTTAAAAAAGCAGTGTAATTATTTATTAATGCACAAACTTTATAAGTCATAAAATGTTTACCAAGTTTGCGATACTGCATTACATTATGCAGAAAAGCTAAGTGGACAATGAACCTTGGAAAATGGTAGACAGCTCTTAATAGTGAACACTCTTAAACCATCTTAGTCTATTTTTATCACTGGTGAAAAAACAAGAATTCTAGGATTTTTGCCATTAAAGTATATATGCGTATGAGTGTGTATTGTAATTTATATGCATTGTTATTGATTGCAGGGCAATTCATGATGTTAAAGCCACAGATCTGGGATTAGGTAAAGTGAGATTTAAGGCAGAAGTGGATTTTGATGGACGAGTTGTTACAAGATCTTATTTGGAAAAACAAGATTTTGACCAAATGTTACAAGTAAGTTTTTTTATTTATTGTTTTCCTGTAGCCAAGGGTTAGAAACATTACTTTTTAAGTAAATAAAATAAAAAATTTTCTTTTACAGATCTTAAAATCAACTGCCTTAGTGATTAGCTGCAAAAATTTAACGAAGACTCTTTTGTTTATGCTAGGATGGGTCGGGGGAGAGTGCAGAAGAGCAAACTTATTTTTAAGTTCTTTTCATGTGCCAGACATTTTATATATGTTATCTCTTTCACTCTTAACAATCCTCTGAGATAAAAAAATAATACTCTCAATTTTACAAACGGGCAAATTGAGACAATGAGAGATTAAGTAGTTTGCACAAGTTGCAGAGCCATAAATATGGACTCAGATTTGAATTCAGATCTGATTCCAGAGTCTGTGATTTTTTATTATGAATAGTTTAGAAGAGAATTTATAGAGGATAAAATAATGAACACCTCAGAGATTATTGTCAAATATTAACATTTAGCTGGACTGTGCTTTCTTAAGATTTTAAGAAGTAGATATTTACAGAAACAGTTGAAGCACCCATGTCCTGCTTTCACATCTCATTCTCCTATCTCCATCCCTAAATAAACCATTATCCTAAATTTGGTACCTATCATTTCCATTTAGGTTTTTAATACTTTTTCAACATATTTTTCTCAGTATAATATGTAATAATATTTTGAATGCTTAAAAATTGATATACTGTATGCTGTATGCACCCCTCTGCAGTTTTATTTTTGCTTAGCAGCATGTTTTGGAGATTTCTGCATATTAATAGCTCTAGTTAATTACTTTAATTGCTGTATAATATTCTATCCTGTGACGGCTGTAATTTATCCAGTCTCTAGTTGATGGACACTTAAACAGTTTCCAATGTTAAACTTTGTGAAACGATGTCATGATGACATTCCCATGCATGTTTCCTTGTTCATGTGTGCCAGAGGTTCTTTAGGATAGTATATAGCCAGATGTAAAATAGGTGGGTCATTGGGTGTATACATCTTTAACTTCCCTAGATATTGCCAAATTGTTCTTCAGAATGTGCCAATTTAACATTCACTCTAAGTGTATCAAAGTTCCCCTTGTTTCACATTCTTAGCAGATTATATTGACAAAGTTTTTTAGTTTTTGTCAATATAAAACCCATTGTCATCGAGTCGATTCTGACTCATAGCAACCCTATAGGACAGAGTAGAGCTGCTCCATAGGGTTTCCAAGGAGTGGCTGGTGGATTTGAACTTCTGACCCTTTGGTTAGCAGCCAGAGCTCTTAACCATTGCACCAGTGGGGCTCCTCTGTCAATATGATAGGTGTGAAATAGTATCTTGTTTTAATTCCTATTTCCTTGGTTAGTAGTGAGGTTAAGCATTGAAATTCGTTGACCATTGGTATTTCATCTACATTTTGCTTTTATTTTACAGAAATTAATTTGTACTTTCCTTACAGATTTGTAGATGTTTTATGCTGGGTAATAATTCTTCCTCAGTTGCATGTATTCAAATATCTTTTCCTAGCCCATAACTTACCTTTTCACTTTGTTTTAGTACTAAGAACGTAATATGGTGTTTATTTTTAATGTGGTCAAATTGGTAATATTTTCTCTCTTTTTTCTTATCTTGCATAAGAAATCATTTGTTATCCCAGTGTCATAAAAATGTTCTTTTTTTTTCCCTTCTAAAAGTTTCAGAGTTTACTTTTCACCTGTAGGTCCTTAATCTACCTAATAATGATCTGAGGTAGGGATCTAATATTTTTTTCCTTGTAGAAAAATAATTGTCCTGGCATCATTAATTGAATAGCCCATTCTTTCCCCACTGATTTTGTAATGCTACCTCTGTATAGCATTGTGCTCAATTTTTCTGGAACTGAATTATTTTGGAAATAGATGGTCCATTGCCTGGAGCTTGGAAGTTTATTTTTCATTAAATTTAGTGGTATTTGGTATAATAAGTCTCTTTTTAAAGGAATCATCATTTCAATAAAATTACACTGCTAACATACAGCTTAAAATGTAACACTATGATTTTTTTAAATATTAATTTGGTTTTCCTACTTTCATTTTCTTTATAGGAAATTCAAGAAGTGAAAACTCCTGAAGAGCTAGAGATCTTCATGCTTAAACATGGAGAGAATATTATTGATACTTTAGGAGCTGAAGTAGATAGACTTGAGAAGGAACTGAAGGTAAGAGGTATTAATATGATAATGTCAACTTTTTTTTAGTACTTACTCTGTATCACACAGTATGCTACGTATATCACATACATACTCTGATCCTCTCAATAACTCCGTTAATATGTAGGTATTAGCAACATTTTTATGGTTCAGAAAACATTTGGCTCAGGGAAGTTGGATAATTTTCCCAAAGAAGTTAGAAAGTTGGGATTTGAACCTAGATTGTTCAGTTCCAAATTCTGTACTTTTAACCACTGTTCTAAATACTGCCTGCTTAGTTTCTAAAATTGTCAACAGCTTTTTTTTTTTAAATAAGTATTTTGTAAGAGAAAAATTAAAGTGAAATTTTAGATTCTGGTCAAAAGTTAGAAAAAGTAGAATGAGACCTTAAGCATGCACATGCATCTTGCTGTTAGTCCATCTGGCATTATTTTATCTTTTCTGTTTGTCGGAGATTGTTACAGCTTGTTGGTTGTTTTATTGAAATATTTGCTCAGGTTACCTTAAAAAATGTCCCAGTGTTTTCAAATTGTCAGTTATGGGCATTTGAGTTTTATTTGTTTGCAATTAATAAAAACTTGTAAATAACCTTTAACATGTGTATCTCATCCAAGGCAGTGCATTTACTTCACTTGATGTTGACCATTTTAATTTTGTTGAAAATTAAAGGAAAACAGGAACGAAAATTAAAAATGAATATTTCTACCTCTGTTTAACTGTCTTTTTAAATGTAGATATCTAATCAAATACAAGTACTTCCAATAAGATGATTTTAAAAATGTTGATATTATAGTTCACACGCTTTAGCAGACTATGATGGTTAGAGCTTCTAGATGAGCACCTCTCACAGTTTTGGTCTCAGGACCTTTTACATTCTTAAAAATTGAGGACCCCAAGGAACTTCATTTATTGGAGTTATATTTATTGATATTTACCAAATCATAAGTTATAACTCAGAAGTTTTAAAATGTTTATTCATTTTTAAAAATGTAATAAATCTATACATGTTAATACAAATAACATATTTTTTGTGAAAAATACCTGAATTATCCAAAACACAAAAAAAGTATTGGTAAGAGTAGTATTCTTTTACTTTTTTATAAAAGTCTCTAATGTCTAGCTTATACAAGACAGCTCGATTCTCATATCTGCTTCTGCATTCAGTCTGTCGTGATACGTTGTTTTGGTTGGAGTATCTGAAGAAAATCCAACCTCACACAGGTACATAATTGGAAAAGGGAGGAGTATCCTTACAGCCTTTTCAGATAATTGTGATACACTTTTTTGCAAGTACACCAAAAACTGACTTAAAGGTTAGTTGCAATGTAGAAACTGAAACCATATTAATGAACTTTTCATATGCTATTAATTAAAATCCTTTTGTCTGTCTTTGTACTTTGAGTGGATTTTTTACCTGTGCGTGGTTCTATAACATTATGAACTGGTCATTTGGAAAATATTGGTTCACTGAGTTAATACAGATCTTTCAAATATTGACACATTTCTAAGAATTGGGAGGCTGTCAAGGTCATGAAAATGCATATAAGTTTTCCACATTTTAATTTCTACTTGAAAGATTGAATTTTATCATTAGCAACAAATAACTGTTAGCTGTTTTCCTTGAAGTAACAGGCTCGTTTTGTTCATTTTTGACAAGATGTCTGCAAATATCCAAATTTAAATAAACAGCTTGTTAATTATTCTTTCAAGTAAAAATGGTGTTCCTGATTTGAAAAAAGGGGGCTGCTGATTCAGCTCACACTCAGTCGCACAAGTACTTTTCCTTGTGACAACATCATACCTCAATATGCAATAGAAATGCTTTATACGTACTTCCCATTTTAATAAAGTCAGTACTTTTTGCTACTTCAGGAAGGACAGTTTAAAGTGAAACTAGTTTTTTTCTTTTTCTAATGTGTGTGACAATGAAGGAACACAAAGACTATGAGTATGGTTTGGTGCTATTTGCCTTGATTTGTGTAAAGGTGCCAGCAGTTTTACATTGCTTTTACATTATCAGCATTGTGAATAAGTCAAATAACATCTTAATATTATGAAAAGTTTTGATGTTGGAGACCCTCTGTAAAGATCTCAGGGACCCCATGTATCCACGGACCACACTTTGATAGATAAAAAGTGAGATGACAATTATTTTTGTTCAGAATAACATGAGAGTGAATAAACTTGGCTCTTCCATTCTGTACACTTTTACTTCTCTGGAAAGGAAGATAATAAACTTTTGAACTAAATCTTTATTTGCTTTATTGTTTAATAGAAACAGTAAGTCAGAAACCAGATTTAAGAAAAAATAGCATGCTAGTTGTCATTAACTATGTTTATTCTTGAATGAGGCATTGATGGGTCAGTGGTAGAATTCTCACCTTCCATGCAAGAGACCTGGGTTCAGTTTCCCTCGAGTGCACCTCATGTGCAGCCACCGCCCATTGTCACTGAAGGCTTGGGTTCTTCTGTGATGTTGACAGGTTTCAGTGGAGCTTCCAGACTAAGATTGACTAGGGTAAAGGCCTGGCGATCGGCTTCCAAAAATCAGCTAGTAAAAACCTTATGGATCACAGTGGTCCAGTCTGCAACCAGTCATGGGGATGGCATAGGACTGGGCAGCATTTCATTCTGTTATGCACTGGATACTACGAGTCAGGGGCTGACTCAATGGCAGTTAACAACAACACACAGGGAATGGAGTCTCTGGGTAGTGCAAATGGTTAACACACTCAATTGCTAACCAAAAGGTTGGAGATTTGATTCCACCCAAAGGTGCCTTGGAAGAAAGACCTGGTGATCTACTTCTGAAAAATCAGCCGTTGAAATCTCTATGGAGCACAGTTCTACTCTGACACACATGGGTTCGCCATGAGTTGGAATCAACTCGATAACAACTGTTTTATTTTTTTAGTTTCAGATAAAGAAAAAGTTGAGAACAATTGTGTATTTTCACATTTTGTGGGGAGGTCGGGGTTTCCTAGCCACTCTTACATTAGGCTTCAAGATGAAAGTGTCCCCAGGTTAACACTTGAACAACTCTAGTTATAAGAAAATCCTGAGTGCACGCTCAATAGAATGCTCTAGTTTGAGTTAGGAAACCCTGGTGGTGTAGTGGTTAATTGCTACAGCTGTCAACCAAAAGGTTGGCAGTTTGAATCCACCAGGTGCTCCTTGGAAACTCTATGGGGCAGTTCTTCTGTGTCCTATGGGTCATTATGAGTCGGAATCGACTCGATGGCAACGGGTAATGGGTTAGCTTGAGCTAAATGCCAGTATTTTACTAGATTTGGCTTTTATAACAACTCCTTTAATATGAGTAATATGCAAATGTTCTAGGATATTATTTTTTAAGCTGTTGTTAGGTACCATCGAGTTGGTTCCGACTCATAGCGACCCTGTGTACAACAGAGCAAAACACTGCACGGTCGTGTGCCATCCTCATAATCAGTGTTATTCTTGAGCCCATTGTTGCAGCCACTGTCAGTCCATCTTGTTGAAGGTCTTCCTCTTTTTCGCTGACCCTCTAGGACTTAATTAATACTGCTGGTTATCACAGTCACTTAAAGGAACTTTTTTCCCTTGTTGATTTACTTTTACAGTTTTTATCAAAGTAATACACAAAATTTATAAAGTCAGACAGAACTGGAAAGCTTATAACAGAAATCAGCAATCACCTGCCAGACCCCTCCTCATTCTTTAATTTTACTTCTCAGAGGTAACCATACTTCTAGCACCTGTTCTGTATTTACTGCCCTATTTTTATATAAAATACTTATGCTACTCTTTTGATTTATACATTATTGACTTCCTCTTTGATAGATATAAATTTAGTTCTCTTATATACTCCCTCTACCTCCATTCTCATAGTATCATTGTATTACATTTTAGTGCATTTTTAATTCCCCCTGAAGATTGAGTTGAATGTCTTTCATTTGTGTTACCATTAAACCCATTGCCCTCTAGTCAATTGCAACTCATAGGGACCCTAATGTTACCACTGGGCGATGGAAATTGTTACTTTCCTCTGTGATAGCAGAGTATTATAATTGCCTGTCATCATACCTGTATTATCTCCTCTCTAGACAGAAGCTCATCAAAGGCAAGTACTGTTTTTTTTTATATTGTTCATTGTTGTATATATCAGTACCTGGCACAGAGTAAGTAGCCCGGGTGGCACAGTGGTTAAGTGCTCAGCTGCTAGCCGAAAAGTGTGCTTCCATAAAGATCTCAGCCTTGGAAACCCTATGGGCCAGTTCTGCTCTGGGTGGCTCTGAGTCAAAATTAACTTGATGGCAGTAGGTTTTGCACAGAGTAGGCATTTAATAATAGATAATTTTTGTTGCTGAATTGAAGTTTCTTAAGCTGACAGCTAAGATTTTTCACAGCCAGGCTTTTGCTTGTCTGTCTAGCCTCATTGCTAAGCCTGCCCTTTTTGCACCTTTTGTGCTAACCATACCATACTGCCAGTGCACACTCCTAGGCTCTCTGACTGCTCAGAGACTTCATTTTGCTCTCTGACTTTGTTTCTTCTGTCTAGACTCCCTTCATTGTCTATCTGGAAAACTCAGCACATTCAAACCTAGATTGGATATTGTATCCTCAGTGAAGTCTTTCTGGATCCCATGAGCCAAAATAATGGTTCTTTCATTTTAATCCCAGTTTTAATATTTAGTAAATTTATAGTACTTAGGAGATTGAGGTCTGGAATCAGACCTGGAATCCATTCTCCTTCCATCACTTATTAGCTGTGTAACTTTGAGCAAGTTAGTTAATTTCTCCAAACCTCAGTTTTAAGATGGAAATAATAATTATTATGAGGATTTAAAAACACACGTACACACACGTGTGTATGTGTGCAAAGCTCCTTAGTTCAGTATTTGACACATGCGTAAGTGTTCAATAAATGTTAACTGTTACTATTAGTTATAATGCTTTAACTTGTAGATAGATGGTTATTGCTACACTTGTCTCCCCGGATAGACTGAGTCCCTCAGTGTCAAGAACAGAGTTTTTAGTGATTTTAGCTCCACTCTCTTGTCACAGTGCCTGACCCAAGACTATATGGCTAGTTACTAAAGTATATAAAATAAGTGATTATCAATTTACTCTTTCTGGTTATTATTGTTTTACAATGACTTTCTTTTTCAACAACAACAACAAAAAGAGCGTATTTCCAGTGCCTTGTAGTGCTTGGCACATATTAGATCTTCAGTATATTATTAATGAACATATGAATAGTCTTAGAGAAGTGAAACTACTTACTGTAGTGTTTTCAGTATATATTGGTCAGCATACCTATTGGTCTATTCACCTACTTACGAAAATATTTTTAGTGGCTTTGATTACAGATCACTTTAGTGATGAAAAGAATAAAAAGAAACACAGATTTGTTTTGCTGTGAATAATGTGGTGGTGATTTTTCTTTCCAGAAAAGAAATCCTGAAGTTCGACATGTAGATTTGGAGATACTATAAATTTGATGGAATGAATCACCTTGTTGGGAGCACTGGGAACAGTTTGTCAAATCACTCTACAAAGCCACAGAGATGTCAGCCCCTTACTGCTATCCCACACGAAGGAGTCAGCGCCATTCAGAAGCCGTTCTTTTAAGATGGAGGAAATAGTTTATGTAGAGGGCAGTTCAGCAGACCATAGAAGTAAAACTAATTACTTTTGAGAGACACACTACAAGGTGAATCAGTTTGGAAATCACGTATTTCTGTTTCCATAGGGAACATTTCAGTTGCTTAAGTTGTTCATAATTTCTCATTTTAGCCTGTCAGGATGTATTGTACCTTACAATCATGTCTCCTTTCTTCACATTGTTAAAATAAGTGACATCCATAGGATTATGGTTTTGAATTTTGTTGCCTCTGAAGACTTCACTCCATCAAAATCTACCAGTCTTGAATACTCTAGCTAGGTCTAGATGTGTGGTTTTTAAACAGTCACTCCATTTCAAAGTCTGTCTTACAGAGTATGAACATTATTTCTGCATACTTGAGTGCGAAGAGGAACTGTCTCCAGATGTAGTCGTCTGTAAATGTTCATTCCAGGAATGGCTTCGTTACTGAATTGAATGAAGACATTCGGTATACTCTTCAAGGCCATAGTAGTTGCCATTTTGTGATATTTCTTTTTTGCTTTTTTCTCCTATTTGGTTTTTTTCTAATTTTGGAATTATAAAATAACTCTAGATGTTTCCTTGGGCCAGTGTGAAAGGTGATTTTTGTTTTTGTTTTTTAACTGGCTTCAGCCATAATATGCATCTACTAGGACATAATGCGTTTATAAGCATTTTAATATTCTGTAAAAGGGACTAGAAGTATTTATAATTTTTCAGACAGAACAGCGTTTTATTTTTAATTTATTTAAAGTGAGGCACTACTTACATAAATCTGAGCTGTAGGATATTTCTTACTTTAAAGTGACCCCCAGAGAGACAAGTGAATCTCTTATACTGAAATGTGTGTTCACAATTTTGTATAATGTCATAGTCAATAGTATGTCTGTAACATGAGTTTCTTGCATTTACAAAATGGTCATTTACTATAATATATTGACTGTAACATTATTTGAGTAAGTAGCTTTCTAATAACCATAAGGTATCAAGGCAAAAAAACATTCAGTTCAGTAATTGAAAATTTAGTGGAGAATTACAGCTGTGTCCCAGTTCAACAAAACAACTCATACACACTTTGAAATGTTCAGATAGCAGTGAGCATTATTCACAGGAGAGTGGTGGCTGGGTGGCATCTTTACTGGGTAAATGTGTGCTTGACAGGAGGACCTAACAATTCATGTGAGGTCAGTGTCTTAAAACTGACTTAGATTGAAGTTTATGAATGACAGCAAATTGTAATGCTGGAAACAAAAAATAAACATTTAATTAAAGGGGTTGTAATGGCAATTTTTGTTCTAGAAATGTCACTTACCAGAAGATTGTAAACATTTACATTGGTGTACTTTTTTTTTTTTTTTAGACCATTACAGAACATTTTGCATACTGCACATTTTAAGTGAAATAACATTCCAGTTTTATTTTTATGACATAAAAATAACTATAAAAACAGGATTACTTTTTAAAAAACTTTGTTTTTTACACATTATAATTCACTCTAGGCTTTCTGTCTTCTCCCTCTTTCCTGGCTGCCATCTGATATTCCATGTCATTGTCATCTGAGAAGGTACCAAAATTATATCCAACTTTGTCCAAATAAAATTGCTCTGAAAAATTTCACAAAGCAGGACAAATGATTCATTTTAAAAAAGAATATTAAGTTAATGTACAGAAGTTATTACAAAGTAGTAGATTTTTTGAGGATTTCCTAAAAGAAGCCAATTCTTGATAATTTCTTTGGGTTTTGTAATCTGGTTTTTGGTTGAAGTGATACTCATTCTTTAATGATAATTAAGGCTTATGTTGCTGTATTTTTTCCAGTTCATTTCTGCGTTGATGTTTTAAATTTTATTTAAGCAAAATTTGACACAAAAAAGTGCAGTATGTCTAGGAATTTGTTTATATGGAATCAGAAAATGTATGCCATCACTGGTTGATGTGTTTTTGAGACAAATTTGAATTTTAAAGCCAGGGAATTATAGGCCACCTTCTTTAAAAATACGATAATATCCAGTTTTGGGGATTTCTTTGTTTTTTCTCCAAATTAATGCTTCTTTGTGAAGTCTTGTTCTGATGCATAGCATTGGAGTATTTAAGCATAGAAACCTTAATATTTTCAAGGAAAATGTCTTTGTAGTAGAATAGTTAGAAAAGTATGTTGAACAGAGGGGGGCAGTCAAGGGTCCATGACTCCTTCTTGGCCTAAGTTGAAATCTGGGAACTATCAAAGGCTAGGTATAGCTGCTTTCAGCTTTGGCTGAGAAGGGGTGTATAATCAACTGTAAATTGCAGGCTCATACTGTGTAAGGCACATTTTTACAGCATGAAAGTGGGAAGATGAGGGATAGAGACCTATTTTAAGTAGACCGTGGTAGCCAATAGTACCCAAAGAGGGATGTTTCATGGAGGAACCTGTGAGAAAACATCAAATTGAAAAATTTTTGAAAAATTTCAGAAACAAAGTTAATCCTTGTATACCCTCCCCACTCACCCATCACTCAAAATAACAACATGACATAAGACTTCAGTTTGTGGTACATGGTTTGCAGTGTTACCTTAATTATCTCATAATTTGAGTAATGCGTTTTGCTAAAATTATACCATCTAAAGGAATGGGTTACGTTTTAAATCTGATAACTTTTTCAGGTAGAATGTTGGGAACTATAGAAAATTGCACAGACTTTTGGAATTTGTATTATCTCACGTAGATTGTGTTCGTCAAGCTTTGGCAGCATTTCTTTTAAGTTTGATGACCCCTAATTTGCCAAACTGTCAGAAGTCAGTGAAGCAAAGAGTTGATGGTAAAATATTGATTCAAAGATTGTTTCCTCTGAATCCCTCATCCTGTCTCTGAAATGGAACTTTGGAAGGCATTTATATAAAAGATTGGTCTGACAGCCTTCATTTTTGCATTTACGTTTTCTTGTATCCATAGGCTTGGTTTTATGGAAGAAGAAAATTTTCATTTCTTTTACATTGTGTTTCATCCATCTGATTTAACTGGCAGATTAAGATGGTCCCGGCCCCACAGGATGCTTTTTTCCTTAATAAATGTCATATGTAAATAGGACCATCTCACTTACTAGTTTGGGGTTTTTTTCCCTGTAAATAAATGTTTGTTAAACAAATGCTTTACCTCATGTGTTAAGAACTAAACTGTGTGATCTGATACATTTTACCTTAAAAATCATGCATATGCTTTTGAGCAGAGTATGTTATTGAGTATGCTTGTTAGTTTGTAAGGTTTTCCTGGTTTTACACAATCGAAGTATAGCTGTTAATCCTTTTATAATCGGTTTTTAGTACAAAGAGAACTGTTATTAATATACTGTTAGAATATTGTATATTTGGTAAAACACAAATCCAGAAAGTTACATCCTTTAGTGATACATATTATTACATTTCGACAGAACTAGATTACTTAAACATTTTAATTAGGTTTGTTAAAACAAAAAATTTATTAAGCCAATAATAGCGATTGAAGTTTATTGAATATACCATTTGTAAATCAGCGTAACATATCTACTGGAGTGTCAGAAATGTTCCAAAGATGAGAAGAACTTCCAAAATTTGTATGCCAAATTTTATCATTGACATTGTCATGGGAAAAAGGGTGGGAACAGAACTGGTAAAACAAATTCGTGGTCAGGAAGGATTTTCATGCAGCATTGTCTTGAAGAACAATTAAAATAATTACTGATTTACTCTAAACAGCTCCCAGTCTGACCTTTGGAGTCTCTGTTTCCCAAAGCTGACTTAGTTCTTCAAAGAGCACAACACCCAAGGCATAACAGTCTTAATAGTTTATTTGGACCATCATTTGACTCAGAGGTGGCTTTTGGGAACCAGTTTTTTTAAGGCTCAAGGTTCTAAAGGACACCCAAAGGCAGTGGCCTATGTGTGTTACCCCAACTTCCATGAAAGCCAAAAATCTGGATTCCAGGAGAATTAAAACTCTCTTGTCGGGTTATTTCTCTATGTTGTGATGTGCCTATATAGTACATTGAGAGAAAAAATACAAAACAAAAAAACATCAAAAGCTACAACCTAGAGCCTGTATTGGAATTCAAGTTGAATTCTAGACTAATGCTCTAAGAATTCCAACTGTATTTTCTTTTTCAAGAGAAACTGAACCAAAGTAATTATTCAAAGTGATTGTCTATTTCTAGAGGGTAGAGTTTCCTCCCCAAATTCAAAACTTATTGAAAATAGAAGCAGTATAGTTTACAATTTACAAAGCAAAATACAGAATTGTGCGTCTTTAAACAGTTTCTAGAGGTTTTAAGATAAATTTAAAAGTAAAGAGAAACATGTTATCTTAGTTATCTAGTGCTGCTATAACAGAAATACCACAAGTGGATGGCTTTATCAAAGAGAAGTTTATTCTCTCATCATCTAGTAGGCTAGAAGTCCGAATTCAGGGCGCCATCTCTAGAGGGAGGCTTTCTGTCTCTGGCAGCTCTGGAGGAAGGTCCTTGTCTTCAATCATCCCTTGGTCTAGGAACTTCTCTGCCCAGGAACCCTGGGTCCAAAGGACGTGCTCTGCTCCCAGCACTGTTTTCTTGGTGATATGAGGTCCCCCTGTCTCTCTGCTTGCTTCTCTCTTTTATCTCTTGTAAAATAAAAGGTGATGCAGGCCATGCCCCAAGGTAACCCCTTGTATATTGGATCAGGGATGTGACCTCAGTAAGGGTGTTACATCCCACCCCAATCCTCTTTAACGTAACCTAATCTTGCCTCATTAACCACAGGCAGAGATTAGGATTTACAACACACAGGAAAATTACATCCATCACAGAATAGAGGACAACCACAAAATACTGGGAATCATGGCCTACCTGACTTGACATATATTTTGGGGGGACACAATTCTATCCATGACACATGTCATTATAATAGCTGTTAAAGGGTAATTTGAGCCCTTTATGCAGGCACCCTTCTAAGTGTTCTGCATATATTAACACATTTAATCCTCAAAAGCAGCCAATAAAGTAGGTACTGTTATTCACATTTTTGTAGACGAGGAAACTAAGATATAGTAGTTATATAACTTGCCTGAATTCACTTAGCTTTTTAAGGGCGGAATTGGGATTTGAACTCAAATAGTCTGGCTTCAGACATGGACATTCTGCTGGCATACCTGAGCAGAAGAGCTCGAGGTGAGAACATACAAAAAGCAGAAACAAGATATTTTATTATGATAAAGTCAGAACAGCTAGCCAGAACTAACTTGGGCTGCTTGGGATTGAGTGGGGGTTGGGGTTTTATGGAAGCTGAGGCATCCTCTGTTACTTCTGAGATTTACTGTTAAGCATTAGTTGCTGGAAACCTCACAGACATAGCCAGATGGTATTTAGTTCAACTGTCAGTCATTGCTTTAAACTATGTAGGAAAGAAATTTGGAGGAAGGAGTGGAAATCAGCATAAATTAAAAAAAGTTTTTAATTTGTTTTAAAATTGCATTTGAATAGATGAAACATTCACATGATTGAAAATTAAGAATGTTTAAATACACCTACTCTTGACTTAGCGACTATCTCATTATCTGACATTTTGCATTTACAGTAGTAAAAATCTGCTGACTATTTTGCACATTAATGGCCCCGCCGACCTGCACACCCTAGCTGTACACATCTTATCCAGGGTGTGCAGAGGGAGGAGTGACACCAACCTCAGGATATTTAACCTCAGTCTGGAACCTGGAGGGCACTCGACCATCTGGCGCCTCCTGGCTCACACCTCCTGCCCTCTTCTCAGCTCTCTTCTGGTGCACCCCACCCTCGGCCCTGTGCTCACCTTACACAGACACAGGTACCGTGGGTGGGGTGCAGGTGGTGGGCAGCTCCCGCCTCTGCAGAGCCACGCCCTGGTCGAGGCTGCTGCAAGCCACTCAGCCCACACTCCCTTGCTTCCCACACT